AGCTTTGCCAGGTGCCAGGGTACAGGAATTAATTAGTATAGTACATCTTGTAGATTGGACGGGCCAATTTGCATTCTTTATTTTCCTGTCCTTGAACTTAAGGTCTGGATGCTGTCCTTAAGCTTTTTCACTCAAGGCTGCTGGTCTACCACTTGAGCCACAGCTCCATTTCTGGCTTTTTTGCTAATTAATTGGAGGTAGGACTTTCCTAACCAAGCTGGTTTCAAACTGTGCTCCTCTGATCTCAGCCTCCTGAATAGCTAGGGTAATGGCCCCTGGCCCAATTTGTGTGAGTGCGTGTGTGTGTGTGTGGGGGGGTGTAATTTTATTGTTATTAGGGTATTGTACAGATGACTTAGTATTTCATAAGTCTGGTAGTAAGTACATTTCTTTTTTTGGACAATGTCACCCCTTCCTTTGCTTTCCAATTTGCATTTTTTGGGGGTCCAGTCGTGGGGCCTGAACTCTGGACCTGGGCACTGTCCCTCAGCTCTTCAGCTCAAGGCTAGTGCTCTACCACGTAAGCCACAGCGCCACTTCCGGCTGTTTTTCTTTTTGCTTATGAGGTGCTGAGGAATCGAACCCAGGGTCTCATGCATGCAAGGCAAGCACTCTACCACCGTACCACCTTCCCAGCCCAACATTTTTGAGACAAAAATGGAAGTCATGTCCTACTGGTAGATAGATGTTGGATCTCTACTCCCCTAAGGACAAGGCTCAGATGGTGTGCATGCCTTCTGAGTTGGGGGCCAGAAAGAGGGCAGAAGCCCCTCCCTCCTGTCCCTTCACATTGGTAATATACCAAGGTCATGGCCATTGTGGTGTGCTGTTAGGAGCAAGGCCATCTGGAATCCTTTCCTGCCTTCCCAGCTGGGGAAGGCTTGGGTTCCTCAGTGCCAAGGGCCAGCCAGGGATGCCAAGCCTTGGTTGGAACCCCTAGAGCTCCTGTGCACGTTCATCTTCACCTCCCCAGACACAATGGCCAGAGGTACCCCACCTCCTTGGGTGAAGCAGAGCACCATAAATGGCTGCTCCAGGACTTTCAACTGCCTTCCCCAAGGTTTGAATCAGTAAGGAAGGTTTGGCCCAGCAAAGTGATGCAGGGTGACACAGGGTGATGCCTCAGTAAGGCGCAGTGAGGCTTGGTCATGCATGGTAGGCTGGGTGAGATGCTGTGAGGCTCAGTGATGCACAAAGATGCACAGTGGTGCGAACTGAGGCTTGGTGATGCCCATTGAGTGATGTACAGTGATGTACAGTGAGGCTTGTTGGGGCTCAGTGATAAATGGTGATGCTCAGTGATGTCCATTGGTACATGGTGAGGCTCAGATCCTGCTGTTCAGAGCAGCAGCAGCAGTAGCCAGCAAGGGCAAGGCCCCAGCGCGTTGCCATGGCTACCCAGAGGACGCCGCCCAAAGCATGTGTGTTCTTGTGACTATGACAGAAGTCACTCAGATTCAGGAGAATGTGACCTTCTATTTGGTACAAAAGCTTTTATTTTTATTTTTATTTTGTGTTGGGGTATTTTGCTGTTGAGGATCAAACCCAAGACTTCATGCATGCTGAATATGCCACACCCCAGCCCAGGCTTGTGTTCTGCATGGCCCAGCAAACCATGTAACATGAAAGAAAAAAACAGTTATAGTGATGCATGCCTGTAATCCCAGTACTTGGGGGACAGAGGTAGGAGGATACCAAATTAAGGCCAGTCTAGTCTACATGAGACCTACCTAAAAAAAAAAGAGCCAGGTGCTAGGGGCTCAAGCCTCTAAAGCCTCTAAATCCTAACTGCTCAGGAGGCTGAGAGCTAAGGATCAAAGTTCAAAGCCAGCCTGGCCAGAAAGTCTGTCCAAGTATGTCCAAGTCACCACCAAAACGCCAGAAGTAGAACTGACTCAAGTGATAAACTCCAGCCTTGAGCAGAAATGCCAAGCAAGGGTGAGAGTTCCTGAGTTCAACTGGCACCAAAAAAAAAAAAAAGACTGTCCAAGCACAGTGGCTCATGCCTGTGATCCTAGCTACTTGAGAGGCTGAGAATAGGAGGATAGCAGTTTGAGACCAGTTCAGGCAGAAAAGTTCACCAGAGCCCTTCTCATAGCTGGGCACAGTGGTGTATACTTGTTATCCTAAGCTACATGGGAGACTTAGATGAGGAGGCTTGTGGTCCCAGGTTATCCCAGATAGCAAAGTTTGAGAGACTTTCCATGGAGGGATTACAGATGCAGTCGTGTGTGCCTTCCATCCCAGCAATAACAGGAAGCCTGATGGAGCTAACCACCGTCTGGGCATGTGCTGGACAGGAAGCAATACCTTATTCTAAAAATAACTAGAAAAAATGGAGCTGGAAGCATACCTCAGCAGTAGAGCGCTTACTTAGCAAGTGTGAAGCCCTGATTTTAAACCCAGTATCACAAAGGAAGGAAGGAAAGAAAGAAGGAAGGAAGGGGGGATGAAGGAAGGAAGGAAGGAAGGAAAGAAAGAAGGAGCAAAGGAAGGAAGGACGGAAAGAAGGAACAAAGGAAGGAAGGAAGAGAAGAGGAAGGGGAAAGGGAAGGGGAAAGAAAGGAAAGAAAGAAAAGGGAAGGGAAGGAAATGAAAGGAACAAGTTTGTTGACTGCATCAACATTAAAAAATGCTAGCTTACCACAAAAACACCAGAAACAAAACTGAAAAGATGACACCGATGAAGAGAAGGCATTCCTAGGTTGTAATCCACAAAGCGCTGGGATGTAGAATAACCCAAGAAGGAAAAGATTAACCTCATCAGAAAATGGGCCAAGGTATTAAACAGGCTATTTGCAGAGGATTACTGTTTGGCAGATAATCATAGAAATGCAAATTAATATATCTGCCAGGGGCTGAGAAGGTGGCTTAGTGGTAGTAGAGTGCTCGCCTAACATGCATGAAGCCCTGGGTTTGATTCCTCACTACCACATAAACAGAAAAGACCAGAAGTGGCACTGTGGCTCAAGTGGTAGAGTGCTAGCCTTGAGCAAAAGAAGCTCAGGGACAGTGGCCAGGCTCTGAGTTCAAGCACCACGACTGGCAAAAACAAAAAGAAAGAAAGAGAGAAAATATCCACCAACTTGGAAACAAATGACCATGCCACTTCTGGGGAAGGCAGAGATGAAGCCTGGGTTAGCAGGTTGAAGAACAATTTAATGCTAGTTAGGAAAGCAGATGATGTGGTTGTACCTGTCAGATTATACCCATGTGATTTTTTAAAAAATGTGGTACTGTAGTTGAGGAATTTATTTTAAGGAATGAAATTTTAAAACAATATTTAATTTACATTAATTTAGTTGGGTGTTATTAGCTTGTACCTGCAATCCTAGCTATTCAGGAGGCTGAGATCTGGAGGATCATGGGTGAAGGCCAGTCCAGGCAGAAAAGTATTTTAGACTCCATCTCCCAAATAATCAGCAAAGAGCCAAGTTAGAGGTATGGCTCAACTGGTAAAGCTCTAGCCAGACAAGCACAGGTCCTGAGTTCAAATACTAGTACTGCAAAAAAATTGTTTATTATTTTTTAAATTTAAAAATTGATACATGAATACTAGGAGTGTTGACACAGTCTGAGGAAGCTACTTATCACCTACGTTTCTAAAGCTAACTGAAAAAATAGCAACGAGAATGCAATGTAGTCCACACCCAGATTCAATGATCAATATCAAAAGGAGTAAATAAAGTATCTTATTCGTAATGTTTGCATTGATTACACATGATAATGGCCATCTTTTGGGTATATTGGGTTAGTAGAAGATGTGAAATTTCACTTTGCCTCCTGCTTTTCCTATCTTTTTGCTTTTGTTTGGTTTGGTTTGGTGATACTGGGGATTGTGCTTGCATAGCTGGAGCTCTACCAGTTGAATCATACCTCCAGTCTGGATTGTGATCCTCCTACTTACACTTCCCAGCTTCCCACCTGGCTGGGATGACAGGCATACATCACCATGCCCAGCTTTTCTTGTATATTGATTGAGGTGTGGGTATCTTGAGCTTTTTGCTCTGACTGGCCCCTCTGTTGGCCTCTTAGGAAGCTAGGATTATAGGCCCCAGCCAGCCAAGTTTGTCATTCTCCATCCCTACCCCCCCCCTTCCCCAGAGATGGGTCAGGAAAGTCCATAAGACCTATATCTCCAATTAACAAAATGTGGAAGTGGAGGTGTGGTTCCAGTAGTAGAGCACCAGCCTTGGACAGAAAAGCTAAAGGACAGTGTCCAGGCCTTAGTAGTGACATAAAAAAAAAAAAAAAATTAGGAGCCGGGCGCTGGTGGCTCACGCCTGTAATCCTAGCTACTCAGGAGGCTGAGATCTGAGGATCACGGTTCAAAGCCAGCCCGGGCAGGAGAGACCGTGAGACTCCTATCTCCAATAAACCACCAGAAAACCGGAAGTGGTGCTGTAGCTCAAGTGGTAGAGCGCTCGCCTTGAGCTGAAGAGCTGAGGGACAGTGCCCAGGCCCAGAGTTCAAGCCCCACGACCGACAAAAAAAAAAAAAAAAAATTAGGAATTGTTCATCTGTAAATAATTAGCATAATAAAAGTATAGAGGGAAGGGATGTGGTGACTGGAGGATGGGGTTGCTCATATACTTTGAATTACTTCAGTAGTGTTTCTGTGGCTTACTTTGGGGCCAGGGGGCTGATGGGAGGTCGGAATGATTCAGATATTCAGCCAATTGTTACATGGTCAAATCCATTGTCAAACCAATGGATTCCTGATTAGAAAGTTTCAAAGCTCTGCAGTGTTGGTCCACACAGCTCCCTGCCTTCTCTGGTCTGCTCCTACTGGTGGCTGGGATGGTGTTCTTGTGATGTGTGTGGATCTGTTCCCAGGGCATCGCAGCCCCTGGTAAGAGGCAGCTGGGGATCCACACAGTAGTCAGGTGTCATAGGAGCCATAGTCTGCCTGGGCAGGTGGAACCTCTGGCTGTAAGACACAGATTTCCAGCTCATTCCCCTGTGCCTCTCTCTCTTCAGGACAGCTGGCCTGTGAGAAGTGACAGGGCAGGATATTCCCTGGGTGGGCTGCCCTATGGAATTCTGGACCAAGGAGGAGAATCAGAGCGTGATGGTGGACTTCCTGCTGCCCACTGGGGTCTACCTGAATTTCCCGGTGTCCCGCAATGCCAACCTCAGCACCATCAAGCAGGTATGGTCTTCACCCAAGTCTGGAGTGCAGAGCAAGGACAGACATCATTTCTCAGACTTGGGAGTTCTGAGATGGGACTTTATGTGTGTGTAGGTGCTGGAACTGGGGCTTGAATTTGGGGCCTGAGAGTTGTCCCTTAGCTTTTTCACTCAACTGCCAGAGCTCTTCTGGCATTTGGTGGTTCATTGGAGATGAGGTTCATGGACTTTTCTGCTAGTTTCAAGCAGTGATCCTCTCAGATCTCAGCTATCCTGAGTAATTAGGGTTACAGGCATGGAGCCACTGGAGCCTGGCTTAGATGCAAATTTTAAATGGTGTAAAGTGCCCAAGAATCATTTTTATTTTTATTTATTTATTTATTTATTTTGGGGGGGGGGTCTGGTCGTGGGGACTGAACTCTGGGACTGGGCACTGTCCCTCAGCTCTTCAGCTCAAGGCTAGCGCTCTACCACTTCAGCCACAGCGCCACTTCCGGCTTTTTTCTTTTTGCTTATGTGGTGCTGAGGAATCGAACCCAGGGCCTCTTGCATGCAAGGCAAGCGCTCTACCACTGAGCCACCTTCCCAGCCCAAGAATCATTTTTAAACTTCAGTTAAGTTCCACTTGTTCTTCTGAATTCAGCTTCCCCTTTAACAGTGTGCACTTCCTCTCGCTTGATGGCTAGATTATTGGGTACTAGACGAGATGGTAGTAGAGACAGTGGCTCTTAACCAGGACTGCACAGTCCTTCCATGACCACTGATGAGCCTTACAACCCTTTGTTTAGAAATATTACGTAAGCCAGGTTTCCGTGGCTCACACCTGTAATCCTTGCTACTTAAGAGGCTGAGATCTGAGGATCAAGGTTCAAAGCCAGCTCAGGCATGGAAGTCCATGAGACTTCCTTCCTTCCTTCCTTCCTTCCTTCCTTCCTTCCTTCCTTCCTTCCTTCCTTCCTTCCTTCCTTCCTTCCATCCTTTCTTCCTTCTTTCCAGTCCTGGGGCTTGAGCTCTTGGCCTACACACTGGCCCTGAGCTTCTTTTCTCAAGGCTAGCAATCTACCACTTGAGCCATAGTGCCACGTCCAGCTTTTTCTGTTTATGTGGTACTAAGGAATTGAACCCAGGGCTTCGTGCATGGCAAGGCAAGCACTCTACCACTAAGCCATGAGACTCTTTAAAAAAAAATGTCCATTTGAGTCTGGGAAGGTGGCTCAGTCGTAGAGTGCTTGCTTTGTGCATGAGGCCCTGGATTCAGTTCCTCAGCACCACATAAACAGAAAAATCCAGAAGCAGCACTGTGGCTCAAGTGTTAGAGTGCTAGCCTTGAGCTGACGAGCTTGAGGGACAGTGCCTAGGCCCAGAGTTCAGGCCCCACGACCAATAACAACAACAAAAAATGTGAGACTATCATCTCCAATTAACCACCAGAAAACCAGAAATGGAGTAGAGCACTAGATTTAGTAGAGCACTAGATCTGAGCAAAAGAAGAAGGAGGAGGAGGAAGAGGAGAAGAGGGAGAGGAGGAGGGGAGGAAGAGGAGAGGAGGTAGAGGAAGGGGAAGAGGAGGGGGAGAAGGAGGAGAAAAAAATGTCAAGGACAGCAACCCAGGCCCTGAATTCAAGCCCTAGGACTGGCACAAAAGACAGAGAATCAGTTGGGGGCGGGGGATACCTGCCAGTCACGCCAGGCATCTGTGCATCTGCAGATGCTGTGTGGAGGGATGGCAGTGTGCACTACCTAGGTTTGGATCTCAGCACATCCTGGCATCCTTGGCAAGGCCCGAGTAGGAAGCCTGCTGACCACACCATTGGGTCCTAGGCTGTGTTCCTCAGGGCCTTGATTGCCCTCCTGTGCAGGCTGGGCCCTCTGGTGGGGACTGACCAGGCCTGTCCTCTCCAGGTGCTGTGGCACCATGCCCAGTACGAGCCATTCTTCCACATGCTCAGCGACCCTGAGGCCTATGTGTTCACCTGCGTCAACCAGACAGCTGAGCAGCAGGAGCTGGAGGATGAGCAGCGTCGGCTGTGTGATGTCCGGCCCTTCTTGCCTGTGCTGCGTCTGGTGGCCCGGGAGTGTGACCATGTGAAGAAGCTCATCAACTCGCAGATCAGTCTCCTCATCGGCAAAGGTACCCCTGCAGCGGCTCCTGTCACCCCACTGTGGACCCCCGGTGTTTCTGTGCTCACTCCTTGGCCTCATCCAACAGGCCTCCATGAGTTTGACTCCCTGCGGGACCCAGAAGTGAATGACTTCCGAGACAAGATGTGCCAGTTCTGCGAAGAGGCGGCTGCACACCGCCAGCAGCTGGGCTGGGAGGCCTGGCTGCGGTACAGCTTCCCCCTGCAGTTGGAGCCTTTGGCCAGGAGCTTGGGGGCTGGCACCCCAAGGACCCCCAACCAGACCCTGCTGGTTAATGTCAAGTTCGAAGGCAGTGAGGTGAGCCCACAAGTCCCCAAATCTATCGTGTGTATGTGTGTGTGTGTGAGTGTGTATGTGTGTGTGTGTGTGTGTGTGTGTGTGTTCTGGAGCTTGAACTCAAGGCCTAGCCATTGTCCATTAGCTTCTTTTGCTCAAGGCTAGCTCTCTACCTCTTGAGCCAAGTGCTACTTCCAGCTTTTTCGGAGTAGTTCATTGGAGATAAATCTCACTGACTTTTCATGCCCAGGCTGGTTTTGAACCACGATCTTCAGATCTCAGCCTCCTGAGTAGCTAGGATTAAGGTGTGAGTCACTGGTGCCTGGCAAATCTACCTTTTGTCACTAGCATAAGATGGCATTTGCCAGGTCCCCAGTCATGTGGAGGGCATAGACAAATGTCCCGCAAGGCAAGTTTGACAAGGCAGGTGGATCCAATGGCCTCCATCACTGGTCCATCAATTCGCTGGACCAGCATTTAGGTGTTGGCTAGATATCTTCAGCACCAGTTTGGTGCTTCCCCCATGAGACTCATGTTCAGGATGGGCTGTGTCCCCAGAGCTCAGGAGGCCTGTGGGGTACAGGACCGACCCTCCCTCTCCCCCCAGGAAAGCTTCACTTTCCAAGTGTCCAGCAAAGACAAACCCCTAGCACTGATGGCCTGTGCCCTCCGGAAGAAAGCCAAGATGTTCCCACAGTGCCTAGTGGAGCAGCCTGAGGACTATGCTCTGCGGGTGAATGGGAGGCATGAGTATCTCTATGGCAGCTACCCCCTCTGCCAGTTCCAGGTGAGGCCTGGGGCCCTCTGTCCTCCTGCATCCTCCACCCTGGACACAGCAGGGTTGGGGGAGGAGCGCTGTATTTTGGGTCTTTCTTGAGACCCAAAGTCTTGAGACCAGCCAAGTCTTGGGGATCACTGTTAAGAGTGAATCAGGTACCAATGGTGGCTCATGCCTACACTCCAAGTTACTCAGGAGGCTGAGGTAGGAAGATTGTGGTTCAAAACCAGCTCAGGGAGGAAAAAAAACCATCTGACGCTGGTCTCAAATTCAATATAAAAAAGCCAGAAGTGGAGCACTCAGGGACAGGGTCTAGGCCCTGAGTTCAAGCCCTAGGACCAGCGCACGCACACACACACACACACACACACACACACACACACACACACACACACAGAGTCCCCTTGCTGGATGTGTGGGTAGGACACACACACACACACACACACACACACACACACACACACACAGTCCCCTTGCTGGGTGTGTGTTAGGAGAGGTTGGGGCTTCTCACAAGGCCTTGGATAGGATGTGATACCCCATGGGCACCTTACCCTGCACCCTTCCCAGTACATCTGCGGCTGCCTGCACAGTGGATGGACCCCCCACCTGACCATGGTCCATTCCTCCTCCATCCTCACCATGCGGGATGAGCAAAGCAACCCCACCCCCCAGGTTCAGAAACCATGCACCAAGCCGCCCCCCATTCCTGCAAAGAAGGTGAGACACTTAGTTGTTCTCTTCCCCCATTCTTTCCTTCCTCCCTCCTGTGGTCCAGCAGCCTATTGGCCAGCACCCCAAGATGGCCACAGGTCAGTCTGTGTAGAGACTTGGGACTTTGGGAAGGGTGGCCATCTTCACAGATACTCTGGTACCAGGTTTGTCTGCGCAGCCTGGGCAATGAGTGGCCTTTCTATGCAGATCCTGGGGGGTAGGGGGGGCCTGGGAATGTACAGGGCAGGTTTTCTGGAGAAGGATGCTGTTAGGGACAAGTGTTTGGGCCATATGACAAACCCTGCTCCCCTCCCCCTCAGCCTTCCTTGGTGTCGCTGTGGTCTCTGGAGAAGGCATTCTGCATCGATCTGATCCAGGGAAGCAAAGTGAATGCAGACGAGAGGATGAAGGTAAGTAGGAGCTGCTGGGCCAGGTGAGGCCAGTGGTGTTTTGCATAAGCAATGTGTTTGTAAGTTGGAGGAGGATGCAGGGGAACAAGAGGAGAAGGTGTCCCATGAAAGCCACCTGACCACATTACCCAGCTTCCCCTGCATGAAGTGGCTATGAGCTGCTACAAAACAGGAAGAGGGGTCCAGGCACCAGTGGCTCACGCCTGTAATCCTTGCTACTCAGGAGGCTGAGATCTGAGGATCACGGTTCAAAGCCAGCCCGGGTAGCAAAATCCATGAGACTCTTATCTCCAATAACCTACCAGCAAACCGTAAGTGGCGCTGTAGCTCAAGTGGTAGAGCACTGGCCTTGAGCTGAAGAGCTGAGGGACAGTGCTAGGCCCAGAGTTCAAGACCCAGGACATACAAAAACAAACAAACAACCACCAGGAAGAAGGGAGGGGAGTGGCTCACCTTCCAGAGGCTGATTCATGCAAACCAGGATGAGCAGATTTCTGGGTACTTGAGACTTTGGTAGAGATTGTGGGGATGAAGGAATTGCAGGCTGCAAAGGTGTAGGGCTCAAAGAGGGGGTGCTTCAGCTGGGCACCACAGGGTGCTCTCAGGAGACACCCTGAAGTGCTTGTAGTTGGAGGGGATACATGGCCTGTCCCCAGTGAGCTGAGCCCTCCTCTGGGTTGTGAGGACCGTCTGGCAGCCTATGATACTGTTCAAAGCACTTCCATATACCCCATCGCCCAACTGCCTGGCGTGTATATGTATGTGTGTGCGTGTGTGCATGTGTGCCCCCACCAGTTCTGGGGCTTGAACTCAGGCCCTGGTTGCTGTCTCAGCTTTTGCAGTCAAGGCTAGCTCTTACCACTTTGAGCCACATCTCCACCTCTGGCTTTTTGGTGGTTTTTTGGAGATAAGAATCTTGCAGACTTTCCCCTAGGCTGGCCTTGAACCTTGATCCTCAAGATCTCTGCCTCCTGGGTAGCTAGGATTACAAATGTGAGCCACCTATACTTGGCTGCTCCTTATATAGACTTGCAAGAGGTGATGCCTGGATCCACAGAGATTCAGCCTCTTGCCTGGTCAAGTCCTTGGATTTGAACTCAGGTGCTGTTTCTGAGTTTCTTTTGTTTGAGGCCAGTGCTCTGTCACTTAAGCCACAGCTCTACTTTCATTAGTTTAATGGAGATGAGACAGTCCAGGCTGGCTTCAAACTGTGATCCTCAGATCTCAACCTCCTGAGTGACTAGGATTATAGCTGGGAGCCATCTGTGCCCGGCCTGATCACTTTGGGTTGAGGTGATTTTTTCAAGCTGACCAGGGCTGAGTAGGCCTGGTGGGGGACATGGATTGGATAGAAAGCACTCTCAGGACAGCTGGCAGGGCAGAGGATGGAAGAAGCACTGGTGGGGTTGGCAGTGAAAACCCTCCTTACCTATGTTCGGTGGGAGGAGACTCCAAGAAAAGGAAGCTAGAGGGTGTTAGAGCCAGAAGGGTACCTAGAGTCCCCCAGCCTTAATGAGGAAACAGATCTCAGGTCTGAGATCGAGTTGTCCACTGTTGCACTACAGTGGCTCCCCATTCTGACCACCTGTCCAACTCTGGCCCCCAGCCCATGGTCTTTGCAGGACCATCTTCTTCTGTGTAGGAATTCTAGATCCAGACCCCTGTGAGAACAAGAGCATTTTCAGGGCTAGAGGGATGGCTCAAGTGGTAGAGCATTTGCCTATCAAGTGCAAGGCTCTGAGTTCAAACCCCGGTACTTCCCCAACCCCAACCCCGTAAAAAATGCAAGGCTGTTTGAGGAAAGGGTTCCTTCATGGGTGGCATATGAAGGGAGAGGGGCCCAGGGCCTTGGCTCTATGGCCTTGCCCTTTTCCTTCCCCAGCTGGTGGTGCAGGCCGGACTCTTCCATGGAAATGAATTGTTGTGCAAGACAGTGTGCAGCTCGGAGGTGAGCATGTGCTCGGAACCCGTGTGGCAGCAGCGGCTGGAGTTTGACATCAATGTCTGTGACCTGCCCCGCATGACCCGGCTCTGCATCATGCTCTACGCTGTGGTGGAGAAGACCAAGAAGGCTCGCTCCACCAAGAAGAAGTCCAAGAAGGCGGTAGGTAGGGCTGGCTGGGAAGGGGCTATGCCTCATGCAGGCAGCCTGAGACAGGGGTTCCACTAGGAGAGCCTGTCCCCCACCCTCTGCCACCTCCCTGCCTGTCTACGGTCTGCTTTCTTGTTCTGCCCAAGTAACAACTCATGAGTAGCCTGACCCAGAGCTGCAGGCCTGCAGCATCCTGGAGCAGCTTTCTGGGTGTCTTCAGGGGGTAGCGAGTGGCCATATATGGGGGACTGTGGCTAAATCTTGAGTCACCAGGCCCAGGGAATGCCTGGCCCCTTGGCCCTTCTGACGCATGCCAAGTGAGCTAAGCCAACACAGTGGCTGGTGGAGCAGGTTCAGGACTTTCTCTAGAAGCCAGGAGCGGGAAAGCAGGCAAGAATGGAATGGGCCTTGCTGGCTTCATCATTGGGACCACAACAAGCAAGAGGAATCAAAGCTAGACACTGGTGGCTCATGCCTGTAATCCTAGCTACTCAGCAGGCTAACATATGAGGATCACAGTTCCAAGCCAACCTGGACAGGAAAGTCTGTGAGACTCTGAGCTTTAATATCAGCAAAAATTCAAAAGTGGAGGTAGGACTCAAATGTAGAGTGCCAGCCTTGAGTGAAAGAATAAAAAATAAGAGACAGGGCCTGGGAAGGTGGCTCAGTGGTAGAGCGCTTGCCTTGCATGCATGAGGCCCTGGGTTTGATTCCTCAGCACCACATAAGCAGGGGATAAAAAGCTGGAAGTGGCGCTGTGGCTCAAGTGGTAGAGGGCTAGCCTTGAGCTGAAGAGCTGAGGGACAGCACCCAGGCCCAGAGTTGAGGGCCCATGACCGTACCCTCTCCACCCCAAAAAAAAGAGACAGTGCCTAGGCCTTGAGTTCAAACCATAGCATTGGCCTAAAAAAAGAAGGAAGAAAGAAATGGAAAGGAGGGAGGAAGGAAGGGAGGGAGGGGAGTCAGTGGGCCCTCCCTCTCCCTGGCTTCCCTGGAGGGACCTCAGAGGATTGGGTCTTCTCTTTCCTGTTTGGTCTAGAGACTGTTCCCCCTGTGAGATGAGCCTGAGTTGGCTCACCTATCCAACCCTGACCTCCCAGTGTCTTTCTCCAGGACTGCCCCATTGCCTGGGCCAACCTCATGCTGTTTGACTATAAGAACCAGCTCAAGACTGGAGAGTGCTGCCTCTACATGTGGCCGTCTGTCCCAGGTGGGCCCTGGCTGGAGGCTTGACAGTGGGCCGGTGGTGAGAGCCTAATGCTTGCCCTGTACAACTCCATCTGTCTGCATGTTCAGGTGAGAAAGGAGAGCTGCTGAACCCTGTGGGCACCGTGTGCAGCAACCCCAACACCAAGAGTGCCTCTACACTGCTTATCTGCTTGCCTGAGGTGGCCCCTCACCCTGTTTACTACCCTGCCCTGGAGAAGGTGAGTGAGGGTTTGTCCTGCGGCTGTAGGGCCCAGCCTATGCAGCTCCTCAGAGGGCAGACTCAAGCCGTGTCAGGATGTGTGGCCAATGCCTGCTGCCCATCTGGGGACTTCTAGGAGCCTTTTGCCCACCAGGGAACATTGAGAAATGTCCCGTGACATTGTGGGTTGTCATAGTTCATGGGGGGGGGGGAATCCTGGCATGTTAGAGGTAGAGACTAGGGATGCTGCTAAACATCCTGCAGTGCCAAAGACAGAATGGAAGTGCAGATGCCTAGTGCTGGGGGCCCAGGAACTGAGATCAGCGTGGTTTGTTGCAGATCCTGGAGCTGGGCCATCATGGGGAGAGGGCACATGCCACTGAGGAGGAGGTGAGTGGGGGTCCTGGGCAAGGGGTGGAGATGGGGGGGGGAGCTAGACCCCTCATGGCCTGTAATCTTCAGCAACTGCAGCTGCGAGAAATCCTGGAGCGCCAGGGGCCCGGGGAACTATATGAACATGAGAAAGACTTGGTGTGGAAACTGAGGCACAAAGTCCAGGAGCAGTTCCCAGAGGCATTGGCCCGCCTGCTGCTGGTCACCAAGTGGAACAAACATGAGGATGTGGCACAGGTGGGCAGACAGGAGAAGAACTGGGGATGGACAGACAGTGTTCACACAGCTACACCTGACCACAAGCACCCCCACTCCCCAGATGCTCTACCTGCTACGCTCTTGGCCTGAGCTGCCCGTCCTGAGCGCCCTGGAGCTGCTGGACTTCAGCTTCCCTGACTGCCACGTGGGCTCCTTTGCCATCAGGTCCCTACGGAAACTCACGTGAGTGCTGGCTCCATTGATGGCTGGGCCCAGACTGGAACAGCTTGCTCCAGTCCAAGCCAGCTTTGTCCTCTTATAACCACTGGCTGCAGACCTCTGGCCTTCCTCCCCTGCAGGGATGACGAGCTTTCCCAGTACCTGCTGCAGCTGGTACAAGTGCTCAAGTATGAGTCCTACCTAGACTGCGAACTCACCAAATTCCTGCTAGACCGGGCCCTGTCCAACCGCAAGATCGGCCACTTCCTCTTCTGGCACCTTCGGTAGCTGGACAGACTCTGGCTGGCTCTTTTGGAACCTCCCAGGAAGGCCCTGCTGACCTTGTGTGTCCAGCAGGCCTGGATGTCCAGCCCAGGCTCCCCCGCCCCCTCCTGTGGGCTGGGGAGGGGCTGTGTGGCTCTCCCTGGGGAGACTCAGCTATTTTCCTTTCCCTCCAGCTCTGAGATGCATGTGCCATCGGTGGCCCTGCGCTTTGGCCTCATCTTGGAGGCCTACTGCAGGGGCTGCACCCACCACATGAAGATGCTGATGAAGCAGGTGAGGCTCTGGTGCCCCAGCCCCAGTGGGGCTCCACTCTCTAGAACCACCTGCTCAGGCTGTCTTCCCACTGTTCCCACTAGGGGGAAGCACTGAGCAAGCTGAAGGCGCTCAATGACTTTGTGAAGGTGAGCTCCCAGAAGATGACCAAACCCCAGACCAAGGAACTAATGCACCTGTGCATGCGCCAGGACACCTACATGGAGGTCCTCTCCCATCTGCAGTCCCCGCTGGACCCAAGCACCCTGCTGGAGGAAGTCTGGTAAGACCCAGGCCTCTCTCCTCCCATGGGGAAGCCCCCTATCCAGGCCTCTGGGACCTCTCAATGACCCCTGCCAACTGTCCTGTGTCTGGCTGCAGTGTGGAGCAGTGTACCTTCATGGACTCCAAGATGAAGCCCCTGTGGATCATGTACAGCAGTGAGGAGGCGGGCTATGCAGGCAACATGGGTATCATCTTTAAGAATGGGGATGGTGAGTCAGATGGGCCAAGAGACCTACTAAGATCTTGGAAGCCCATCCCTTCCTTTTTCTGTCCTGTCTCTTGGGACACCTGGAGAATGAGCTGAAAACAACAGCATATTGAGACTACAGAGCCTGGGCACAAAAGGCGTGCAAAACCCACCAGAATCTTGTGCTCTTTCTCTTCTGGCCTCTGCAGACCTCCGGCAGGACATGCTAACCCTGCAGATGATCCAGCTCATGGACATCCTGTGGAAGCAGGAGGGCCTGGACCTGAGGTAGGGATGTCCCTGCACATGCGTGGGACTGTGCCTGCGGTGGATCCCTGGTCAGAATTGTCATCGTGACATTGGCTGGGAAAGGGGCTGTTCTCAGAGCAGGGAGGCCATAGGGCAGCCAGGGAAGGCAGGGGAGTCATTCCTGGTTCTGAGGGTCAGGTCTCCCTCCTGTTTGCCTGCTTTAGGAGGCAGCAGCCTCTTATGCCAAGCCCCCTAGCTTCAGAACCAATACAAGCTCAACTGGACTGAGTTGTTATGTTGGTTGGAGGTTCTGATGCCTCTCAGAAGTAAGGAGCCTGGTGCTTTTTCTCTCCTCAGCAATTTGAGCAACAGTGTCCCCTGTGGGGTGTGTGTGTGTGTGTGTGTGTGTGTGTGTGTGTGTGTGTGTGTGTGTGTGTGTGTGTGTGTGTGTGTGTGTGTGTGTGTGTGTGTGTGTGTGTGTGTCAGGGCCTAGGCATAGCACCAATCCCAGCTTTTCGGTAGTCAATTGGAGAGTCTCACAGACTTTCTTGTGTGGGCTGGCCTTGAACCATGAGCCTCAGATCTCAGCCTCCTGAGTAGTTAGGATTACAGGTATGAGCCACCAGTACCCAGCTTCCCTGTGATTATTTTTGTATGTATGCCTCAAATGCCTGGGGCCTGGGAGCCTATGGCGGGCCCTTGACCATGGCATTTCCCACCCCCCTCAACTCGTGTAGGATGACTCCCTATGGCTGCCTCCCCACTGGCGACCGTACTGGCCTCATCGAGGTAGTGCTCCACTCGGACACCATAGCCAACATCCAGCTGAACAACAGCAATATGGCAGCCACAGCTGCCTTCAACAAGGATGCCCTGCTCAACTGGCTCAAGTCCAAGAACCCTGGGTAGGTCTGTCTTTCCTGAGAGATACCATGTGGGAAGGGCTGGCCTTGTACTATCTCCATGCTACTTAGCTGAGGCAGGATCTAACCCGTCTGGGTTGGGGCAGGTCAATTAGTGATTGCTGTGCAATTCGATTCAAAGCTTCAGGTCTTAAAACTAACCACTATTTCTCACTGAGCTCAGCTGAATGGTTCTACTGGCCTTGCTTGGAATAGCTTCACACAACTGCTATCACCCAGGACTTTGCCTGAGCCTGGAGGTCTAAGATGGTGTCAGTCAAATGCGTGTCAGCCTTGCCTCTCTATGTGGCCTCTTTCTATTTAGTACATCAGCCTCTGCTTCTCTCCATGGTGGCCCTGTGCAGGCCATGGAAGGTAGCTTCAAGATCTCAAGCTATGCCTAGGCTTAAAGCTCTGGCATAGTGCCACTGATTAAAAGCATCATAAGGCCAGATTCAAGGGAGGGGAAAGAATCCACCTTGCGAAGAGACTACAAAATGGTTGTGGCCACTGCTTTCAATCTTCTTACCCAGGGAGGCCCTGGATAGAGCCATCGAGGAGTTCACCCTCTCCTGTGCTGGCTACTGCGTGGCCACCTATGTGTTGGGCATTGGTGACCGGCACAGTGACAACATCATGATCCGGGAGAGTGGGCAGGTAGGGGACAAAAGTAGGCAGCTACCCTCTGGGCCTCTCCTCCAGACCCTTTAGCCTGTTCTGTGTCCTGCACATATTGCTTCCTGGAAGACATCCCTGAGCAAGGCTGGCTTCCTTTCTCCCTGGGCACTATTCTCTGCTATGCTTTTTTTTTTTTTCCCTTCCCTGAGGTGCTGGGGGTGGACCCCCAGCCGCATGCATACTAGGCAAGACCCTACCACAGAATGGCATCCCCAGCCTTTTTTTTTTTTCTTTTCTTTCATGCCTCTTCAGTGCCTTTCTCTTCCTTTCCTTCAGTTGTTCCATATTGACTTTGGCCACTTTCTGGGGAATTTCAAGACTAAGTTTGGAATCAACCGCGAGCGAGTCCCATTCATCCTCACCTATGATTTTGTCCACGTGATTCAGCAGGGGAAGACAAACAACAGTGAGAAATTTGAAAGGTGAAGGTGATCAGAGCCCCTGGGGTGAGCACAGAAGTTTCTGGGCAAAGGAAGAAACGGGATCTTAGCCTGATCCCTAGCTCTTAATGACTGGTGGGTTACAGGGAATCCATATGTTCTCAACAGAGGAACCTCAGCCCTGGATGCCCTCTAGAGGTCCATGGGCCATGCAGGAAGCAATCTGGGGCTTAGCTAGAGGAACCAAGGGCTCTGTTCCCAGAGTAAGACAGCTGCTTGGCAAGGTGCTGGCCTTGGGCTAGAATGGCAGGGAGGTTGCCTCACCTGCTCTGCTTCCTGCAGGTTCCGGGGCTACTGTGAAAGAGCGTACACCATCCTGCGGCGCCACGGGCTCCTCTTCCTCCACCTCTTTGCTCTGATGCGGGCAGCAGGCCTGCCTGATCTCAGCTGCTCCAAAGACATCCAGTATCTCAAGGTGGGCTGGGCAGGGTTGCATCAGGCAGGCAGGGATCAAGAATAGCCATGCAGGGTTCCTGATGCCTACCTGAGCAATATGGGTGCTAAAGGATCCCATAGGCTATTCCTGCTAGAGGGGTCCTCATGGCTCTTCCACATCCCAGCAGCAGAGTCTGGTGAGAAGTGACCAGTGCTGTCAAGCAAGGTAGACTCAGAGCTGCAGTTGGATGAGCCGCCTTGTGACCTTCCTTGGTCACCATGTCCTTGGTATACACAAGGGCTGCATGGGCTAAGCTTCTTTGACATCTACAAGATGGCTTCTTTCTACCCACATCTGAGTTTTTGAGCTGTGGGTTGGGCCATGTCCCTCCACCTCCTGGCCCTCCTCCCAAAGTCAGGATAAGACCCCATGGCAATCATTCAGGCCAGGGCAGTTTAGAAATGAGCTCTCCTGATTCTCTTCAGTGAATCTCCCATTCGCTAGGGCAAGAGCAGGCAGATAGATGTGGTTGTGAATCAGAGTGGGGAGTCTGATGCTGTGATGACTCTGTCTCAGGACTCTCTGGCCCTGGGAAAAACAGAGGAAGAGGCCCTAAAGCACTTCCGGGTGAAGTTCAATGAAGCGCTGCGTGAGAGCTGGAAGACCAAAGTGAACTGGATGGCGCACAATGTGTCCAAAGATAACAGGCAATAGCAGCCCCATCCCGGCTACGTGTGACACACTGGGCCTCTCTAGCTCTGGACGTAGATGCACCTCAGTCATCCTAAAAGGGGCCGAAAAGCCTGAGCTGCACCTCATAGGAAAGAACCTCACAACTGCCTTTTGTTTACACTGGTATTTATTTATGACTCCAAGTGTTTAAGAAACAAACAGCCATAAATGGAAATGCACCTTGTGCAGGGAAGGGGTATTGCCCTCCAAGTGGAGCACTGTGAGTTGGGCACCTCAAGATGGTACCTTCGGGCTGGGAAGGTGGCTCAGTGGTAGAGTGCTTGCTTTGCATGCATGAGGCCCTGGGTTCAATTCCTCAGCACCACATAAGCAGAAAAATCTGGAAGTGGCACTGTGGCTCAAGTGGTAGAGTGCTAGCCTTGAGCTAAAGAGCTGAGGGACAGTGCCCAGACCCAGAGTTCAAGCCCCATGACCAAAAAAAAAAGATGGTACCTTCCTCTCAACTGAGGACTGCCACCCAATATCCTCTAGCTGGTGGATCTTGTCCTGGCAATGATCATTCTTCTCCAGCAAAAGCCTTCCCAGGCTCCCGCCAGACTGCCTAGATCTTGGTGCTGCCACACGCACATGGTACCTCCCATCCTCAGCTCACCTCTGCCACCTTTGTGTGGCCCACTCTGTGTCCCCCGCCAACCAAGCTCTGGGGCAGCTCCTGAGGAAGCGGGGGTACCTTCTAGAGTGAGGGACACTTGCTCTTCATAGTTGAAGTGACATGATTCCCCCCCTTGTATTTGCGGGTAAGGAAACAGCCAAACTTCTCGCTGAGTCACTGCAGCTGGGGATAATGAGGCTCCCACCAAGTGTAATCGTATATGCTGGCCCTACAGAGAAGCCTGGAGGTAGATTTTGCTCACCTGGTCACAAACTAAGGCGAAAGGAAGCCACAGTGGAGTCCTTTGTGCAATGATGGGGTAAGGACCTCTTAGGCTTTAGTGAAGGGCTGAACAGAACAGAATCTCTCCAAGTTAGTTATGACCTTTTTGAGAACCTTTTAAGGAACCAATAGCCATCAATAGAAATGCATGCTTGTGCAGGGCAGCAATACTCTCCCAGTGTCCCCAGTCAGAGCACTGGGAAGTGGGCCACCTCAGACTGTACCTGAAGCCCTGCTAGGAGTCATCATACAGCAGGAGTATGGCCTAATGGGTCAGTGGAATCATTTGTGCTCCAAGTATTTAGTTCAAAACAATTCAGGATTAGCTTTGGGCTTCCCAAAGGACTGGGTCAGAGCAAGTTTACAAGGTCAGATTCTGGGCTTCTCAGTCTTCCAAAACACGCTCTCTTGACAGGCCCTGAACCTAGGATTCAAAAAGCCTACTGTGGGCTGAGAACACAGTTCACCAGTCCAAAGCATGCTTAACAAGCATGGGGCATTGGGTTCCATCCCAGTGCCACTAGCACAAAATGCATGGGTCAGTGGTGCTCCTGGTGCAGTGGCAGCTGACTCAGGACCCGTTGGCTCACTGCTGAGCTCAGAGCACCCGCTCTTCTGTGTAGGCTCACAGCTTAAGAAGCCCAGAGCCAGCTCTCTCCATTTTGATGATCCAGGGATCCAGCAGCAACTGGTACCACTGCAGAGTACCTGCTTTGTTCCCAGTTGCCATACTCTGCTCCCCAACTCAGTGCTGCTGCATTTCCCCAGAACACCTCATTTGCTTTGAGATAGGAAAAACCTCGTGTATGTGTATGTGTTATTTATTCAAGTTTTGGTTCTCCCTGATGCAGCCTATAGCTTTTGCACACCCACGACATTTCTGGGTTGGGTGGGCAGTCCGTATGCCTGGTGAGAAGAATATTTTCTATTTTTTTTTAAGTCGTGTCTTGTTTCTGCATTGGGAAGGCAAGTTCTGTATCAATACTGTGGGCTGAAACAGGCCTGTGAAAACCTTGAAGGAGGTAAAGGCAGGTGAAAAGAAATAAAAGCCTTTATATGGTCTTATGTTCTTGGCTCCAATAGCAACCAGGGAATACAGGCTTAAAATAGAAGCAAGGCAGAAATCAGCTCAGTGTGGCTGGAGTTAGAACCAGAGTTTTATTGTAGTATGTATACTTTCCGACCTAGCATCATCAATACACACATCTGAAAGAGGACACTGCTGTGTCAGCCTCTTTCCATCACCTAAACAACAGCTACAAGGACAGGACACAGAAGGGTGGCCACACACAACTCAGAACTGCTGTATCCTCAGAACTAACCATGAGGGGCCCAGGATAGTGTGCAAAAATGATCCCCCATTTTTGGCAGGGTGAAGCTCACATGGGTTTACATCTGACTGCTTTCTCTCTTTTTACCTTACTACGGAGTCAAAAGCAGGGCTCCTGGCTACCAGAGTACAGATTTCCCCACCAGTCAGATGGCAAGGACAGCCCACAAGGACCCAGGGAGGAGAGGAGAACAAGGCAGGGCTGTTTGGGGATGCCCTAACACTTGAACTTTAGCCCTTGGGCTCTCAGTTTGGAAGAATGCAGATCTCCCAGGTCGGCACCGATTCCCAAAAAGTCAGGTGGCATGTGTGCACATGGTGGTGCTCTGTGAGTTCTACACATGCCTGCCCCAGCAGAGAAAGCATTATCTCCAGGGCTGTGCACACAAAGTCCAGGCTACTGTGTACAGGGTGGCCGGGCAGGGTAAGTGTATGTAAGAAGCCAAGGAACTGCATTATTCTCATCCCCAACACCGAACTAAGAACAGGTAGCATTCCAAGGCCCTGGCCACCTCTAGATTCCAAACAGGGACCCCTAATCCAGTCCCATGAGCAACACCCCAAAGCCTATGACTCTGACCATACAAGGAGACTGGACAAGGATGGTGTGGGGTAAGCCTCTCCAGCCTAGGTTGAGGTGGGATAGAACCCTGGGACCCCCTGTGCCTGGCTTTCTGAACTTTATATTCCTGGACTACACAAGCACAAAGGACATACAGAATCCCTATTTATTTACAAAATATTAAAAGTCTGTTGGTCGCCTACACATTAATCCCCATTCTGCCATTTTGTACATGCACTAGTTTAGAAAAAAAATTAAAATAAAACTTCCTTTAAAAAAAAACAACTAGGGGGCTGGGAAGTTGGCTCAGTGGTAGAGCACTTGCCTTGCATGCCTGAGGCCCTGGGTTCGATTCCTCAGCACCACATAAGCAAAAAGCCGGAAGTGGCGCTGTGGCTCAAGTCGTAGAGTACTAGCCTTGAGCTGAAGAGCTGAGGGACAGTGCCCAGGCCCAGAGTTCAGGCCCCACGACCGGACCCCCCAAAAAAACAAAACCCAAAACTAAAGCACGGTTACCTGGTAAGAGTAAGCACTTCTAACCCTGTCACCAAGTCACTGCTGCTTTTTGGAGATAAAGGGGCCAGCACACAGGGCACTCTGGCCACATGTGGGACTGCTGCATTATGGGGTCCCCCATGGCAGCAAGGTGCAGCCAGGGAGGAGTCACCCACTCCTGGCATAGTGGCAGAGTGACTGGGCAGGAGTATAGAGAGCAGGAGCCTAAAGTCCTACACACCAAGCATGGGGACGATGAGCAATGAGGTGAGTCTGCATACCTACTGGCCTAAGTAACTTTGTTCACCATGGACCCGCTGGGCTGGGGAAAGCTGGTGGAGTCTGGAGAATGGAGGACAGGTGGAAGTGGAGAGCAGGTGGCTAGGATGTGCATTAGTAGCTGAGTATGGAGCCGTCCTATTCAAGATGCTGCTGCCAAGAAGTACACTGGCTGTCTCCAGGGCTACCCTCCTCCTCTTCCTCGCTGCTCTCTGACTCAGCACTGGTGATATCCTCTTCCTCCTCCCCATCCTCACTCTCTTCCTCTTCACTGCTGTGCTGGTCCTCATATCTCTGGGGAGCAAACAGCAGTATAAGCCTAGCTTATGGTTTATCACCATGAGGGAAGGGAAATGCCCCCAGGGACTCTCCAGTGAAATGAGGTACCATCATCCCACTGGGGACGGTACCCAGCTCCCCTCTGAGAACTGTTTTGTTTTTGGCTGGGGGGCGGGGATTAAGCAGCAGTGAGCAATGAGCACAATGTGTGTTTGTACGCTTACCAGGCAGTGAGGCCTTTAACAGGCCTCTGAGCCTTGGGTCACCCATCTGGAAATGAGTACCCCTGACCTTGGAGAACTGTTATTCAGACTATGTGACATGGGCATGTGGATGCAAAGGGGCCATGACTAGGCTTTGCAGTCAGGCCTTTCTGCTCCTACCTCTATGTGGTTTACAGTTATGGTCAAGGCAAAGTCATCCCAGTCCATCTCATTTTCCTTCCCTGTGTCTTGGTCCTGCCTGGCATGCTGATGTGTGGCCTGGATCTAAAACACTCCCAGGATAAATCATGACAACCAGGAAGCTGACACACACTATGATCACAACCATGGCAGTACTGGGGGCAACTATAAAGAGATCGGAACGTGAAGCAAACCTGACAGCTGTGATAAGTCAAAGGGGCTGATGGGAATGCCTCACCTGACCTTTAGAGACTAGGATGGAATACAAGAAAAGGCTCCTCAACTCTCACATCTGCTCTGTGGCTATGGGTGGGCTTTATGTCCTTGTGTGACAGTAACAAGGACACAGAAATGAGGTATCCGCCTGGATGCTACATGCAAGCCAGTGTTTGGGCTCGAGAGTTTCTCCGGTCTCCTACCTTTAGCCAGGTTGTGACCTGACAGGTCCACGAAAGAGTGATGTTCAGAGTGAACGAACTGTAGCTGGACAGCCACGTGGTTGGAGTGTTCCACAGGGTTGGCGGTGTGAATCATTCATCTGCAGTGGAGAGAGAGGGAGTAACTGCTGACTGGGACCAGCATCGCATCCCAGTGTATCCCAGAGATGAAATGAACATGAGTCAGCAGTTGACAAGTCACACTGAATAGTCCCTAGACCAAGATGGGAGCAGACAAACTACCATTTATCATCAGAAAAATGAAGGAGGGCGGGGGGGGGGGGGGGCGGTGAGCCAGTGC